CAGGCAGAAGACTATGATTTCCAACCAAAAGTTAACCATAATTTAAATAGCAGCTCTTCGCACCTCACACAGTATCTGACAGGGTATGGCCCATACATGTCCTATCTTCACAGATGTCGCCTAAGAGACAGTGACCAATGTATTTGTGGCAGTACTGGTGACCCAGATTACTATCTGTTTGACTGCTTGCACACAGGAATTCCCATTTGAAAAGGCCAGTTGCAATCAATATGGCAAACCGGCATGGTTCAAGAACACAATTAAGAATAAATATGCGTTCACCGCATTAGAGACTGCACTACCATTGCTAAAAGCATTGCTGACAGCCTGGTGTGACTTCTTTCCTTGGACACCGTGCCGTCAGCAGCCCTCTCCGTACATATATTAATTTACTTAATGTCTTGTGATTTTTTTTTGTTGTTTTTTGTTTTTTCTTTGTTTTCGCTGTTTTTAATTATATTTAATATTATGATTAATACATAACTCATTTAATGTATTCCACAATTTGTAATGTATTTGATCATCTTTATATCTGTACCTGATTATCATAGCACATCCTTAATATAACTGTATGCTTAACATGTACTATAATAATAGTGAAAAGTCTTCCGCTTAGTCTCAGTAGTCCCCACCATGCACCTTTTTTCCATGTTCAGGTCCTTATTTCAGTATTCCTCGTTTCGTGGCCAATCCCCGGAGGGCACAGTACTAAGCTCTTTTATATTATTATTTCTTATTTATATCTTTCTTATTTATTTTATTCATGTATTTATTTTTAATTCCATCTACGGGATCCAACAGGTTGAAAACCACCTAACCCAGTGGGCCAGCTGTTCCGTCGATGGCGAAAAGAAAGAAAGTATACATTATACATTATACTGTCCAATAAAAGTTAAGCAGCCAATAAAATTATAAATTTTTGAAAGAGTAATTGAATTTGAGTGGTTGACAATGACTGTGGATGCAGATGGCAGTACGAAAATATCGTATGTTATAACCATGCACGACTGATTGCCTGAACATGTGCTAGTTAGGTAGTCATTGAAGATGCCAGTATTCTGAAAGGTTTGAGAACATGAGAACATGATTGAAATTTTGATGATAATCGTGTTTTTTCGGTTAAGAAAAAAGGGTGCCGATTCCTTCGCGCTGATCATTCTGTAATTTTTCGAATATGGGGATAATTCTAGACACGTCGAACAGTTGTCCAGAGACCTGTGCTCGGTCGGCCAAGGGTTACCACTTCATTTGAATATCGGTATAGTAGCCAAATGGAATCGACGAGTGACCTAAACAACTATTACAGACATGATCGTATATTTACTTGGTAAGACAATGTCTGCCAATACACTACGCCGAATGCTTCAGATCAAAGTGTTGTATACTCGTGTACCATCCGTTGTGTTTCTCTAAGGGCCCAGTTCAAAGGGTGAAGTTAACAAAAATTAAATTAGTATCTTCACCATCTCAACTGGACTATCATTCTCTGCACGTGAAATCAGTCCCAGGACGTCAACAAACATCACACATTCAGAAATGGCGGCAGTATGCTGTGAACTGGAATTGCAATGGGATATCGATGCACACAACTGAGCAGACGGTTCTATGACGAAAGACAGTTCTACACGACTAAACGTGTATAAGATGAAGTCTTGTACCCTTTTTCGAGACTAAACTGCAGCAGTTGGTCCTAATTTTCTCCTTACGGATGATAATTTTCGCTTCTATCAAACTACTATCATTGGCAAGTACCTGGAGAGTGAATTTCTTGTGGATTTGCCGCCGCATTCCCCCGACTTTAATTCCACTAAAAGTGTTTGAAATGCCCTCCCATGTGTTAAAGCTGCACGTTTGCTTTTTCCAGCCAGTCTCAGAGATGTGGATACTGCCCTAATGGAGGAATGACCATTGCTAGCATGTGCAATGGTTGATCACCTCACATAAAGCATGGGCAATCGCTGTAACGTTAGCGTGACGGTCAGGGGTGGTCATATATCTTATTAATGTAAGTTGTTTTTGTTTTTACCTTTAGACATCAATTTACTACTAACCTAAATGTGACGTTTTTAGTTAACTTATGAAATTGAAATATTGGTTTCATCTTGGTTCGTTTTAAATAATGCTTGTTTTCTTTCATGCGTAAAACAACTTCTATCTTTATGTGCAATTTGGTTTTAACTAAAGCTTTAGTTTTGTATTTTTGTTGATATTACCGACGCGTGCTTAACGTTGGAATCCAGTGAATATTGTATTATATGACTGTTCTCGCCTTTTCGCAAAACGTCACTGCGCGGCTACTCATGACGTGTTATATACTGACTACAAATTTGGAGCTTTAGAGCACTTTTTTGACTTGTGCCAGGTTAACAGAAATATATAATTTAGCGCTGAAATTCTGATACTGATTGCATTTCTGAAGCTATTCTGATTATTTTTATTCACCTCCCTTTTACGAAACTGCATTGCTGGATCAAGCATATCGTGTTCGAGATTTATCCTTCAGAGGGAAATTATTAAAGACATTAATGAAAGCTCGGTTTATAATTTCATGCCAAAGAATTGCCATCTTTAGTAGTGTACATAATTTACACTATACGCGCGGTTATATAGTAGAAAAGTATGTCTTTTGTGAAGATGTGTGTGAAGTATGACATAAATAAGGAGAGAAAAGGTGAAAGTTTTAGATAATTATACATCGTTTAAAAATTAAATTTTATAAAAAATATATCATTAATGATACCATTTAGTTCAGAGTTTTCTGCACAATAAATGAAAAAATAAAAAAATTCAATGAATTTTCGAAGGGATTTTTGAGAAAAATGGATCGGTTAAGGCATGTTATGGAAACCTACGCATTGATTATTGCAAAGCATTCAACATTTATCTTCCCAGGTAAAAAAGGATGCATTCTTGTCGGACTACAGTCAAAATCTGCCATAGCGAACCGACTTATAACGAAACACCTGAACCTGATATGAACGAACATTAAGGGCAGGAATGATTTCGTGTAGGAGTTTCTAAAAGAAACTGGCTCGTATTACAGAGAAAAACAAGAAAATGCCCATTCAGCCATCCTATTTGCCAGGATTTGAACACCGAGTAAAGAGAGCATGTCCAGTAAAAAATAATGGTCAAATAACAAAAGATTTTTCTTATCATTGTGATAATACATATAAATATAGATATATATACATACATATTATATAAATATAAATTTTGATATATATATATAAATATAAATTTTGCATTAATTTATTTTTAATTTCTCACAATTAGTTTGAACTTCCCATTAGAACTGAACATTTTTAACACTCTAAACATTACAGCGACGCATAGTAATATTTTTTAGAATGCACTCAGCCTCTAGCTGATAGACAATGTAAAATATTTTTATTGAATATATATTTTTTCGTAACCAAGTAAAATACCGGTAACATTTTCTTAATAACTCTATAATTCAATGGAATTTCTAATTGCTTTTTTTCTTATTTGTAAATGTAAAACATTAGATATATTTATGATTAAATAATGAGAATTTAACTTATCATAATACTAAGCGAAAGATTTAAAATCTTATTTGTCTACGCTACGAAACATCCTAATGGAATTGCCAATAATGTTTGTAAATATATTTTAAGCTCTTGCTAGTCGATAAAAAATTATGATGTGTTTCACATATTTTTTCAATCTTTAATTTTAAAATGGAACTCATTTATCATCAGCCATTGTTTTCGCATAATACCTAATTCTATCTGCACAAGAATACAGAATCGATAAGCATATTCTATAAGAGTATCTTGCAGGAAATTACAAAACTTTTTACTTTTTCTGGAGAGATTTAAAAATAATTATTATTGATAGAGTGTAGCCTAGTTTCAGCTTTGTGAAATTGCCTTTTTCTTTTGAACATAGATTGAATTGTAGTTCTAAATTTTTATAACTTTATATTTTATTCTGATTTCAATAAGACATGCCCTTTTTTAAGCATATTTTACCTTAAATTCAATTACTAATTTATTATTCGGCTAAACTTAAAAAATATTTTTATCGCTGAATTCTTATCTAACATTCCATGCAACCGTCTTTCAGATACAATACCTAATGATACCTAAACGAAGTTAAGTTTATAAATCATTTCTGTGCCCTTTGATATATAAACATTATCAATTATTATTATAATCTGTATATTAAAGAGGGTGATTTAAATCCTCAAACCCAAATATACTTACTCAATCGAAAATTCGAATTTTCGCATATTTTTATTTATTTAGATTTTTCGAATCTGTCTAAAATCTATGACAGGTTTTAAATCAAAATTTTGGAAATATTAATTTTTTACATTATCTACTAAAAACAAATTTTCGGAGTTTAAATTTTGCTCACTATTTATTTAAAAGAACAGTTATTTGAATATATTTTTAAAAGATCCACACGTCGAAAAGCTCTTGCCTTTTACTGCCTTGATGCGCGGCTCGTAAATTAAAGATTATATACTTTTTAGAATAGAAATATTTGTCAGGTCGGGTAGATGATAAATGCGTTAGCAGCGAAACAACATAAAATATAATGTTCATAAGAAATGGAAAGTCAAAGTTACAGAAGATTTTAAGGTCAGTAATTTGTTTCCAACTTCAAATAAGATGGAAGTAAGTGAGCTCAAAAGACCCAGCTATCTTTCTAAATTCTAGATACTTATGAAATTTTGTAGAAAACGAATGTGGTACGAAAATATTTATATTGAAACTGCAGGAGAAAGCAAAATATATGTGTCCCGGATTTATATTTTCTTTACTTAATAGAAATAAAATAAGATTGAAATCAGAAAAAACCTGAATTTTGATAAAATCACTATAGCGTATTTGCGTTGCTACGCTACCAGTATAATTCCACTAAGAAATATAAAGAAACCGCGCGCAAAGAATATCCGCAGACATTGCAAGCGATTAAAACTGTTTTTCAGTTATTCTGTAAGTTTTGACTAAAAATGTTGGTTGTTCGTTCGAAAAATGGCGAGATTTCTTTAATACTTCATTACAGATTGTATAAAAGAATAAACATCTGGTGGTAGTCGCTGAGATAGAAAGGTGGACCAGTGTTTATTTAAAAATAGAAGAAAATACAGTACTTGTGAGTATAAGTTTTAATGAATACTGTGCCATTTTGTATGAAAATAATACATCTTATTATTGAATGCAAGTAATAGAACGATAGTCTAACTTTAAGCTTTTGGATTAAAGCGTCAAAATATTTAACGTCCTTTTAAAATTTGAGCTCTTGTATTAGAGTGGCAAATTTGTTACGTTGATATTAGAATATTTCTATTATGAAATTTGATCTCTTGTATTAGAGTGGCAAATTTATTACGTTGATATTAGAATATTTCTATTATGAAATTTGATCTCTTGTATTAGAGTGGCAAATTTATTACGTTGATATTAGAATATTTCTATTATGAAATTTTATCTCTTGTATTAGAGTTGCAAATTTATTACGTTGATATTAGAATATTTCTATCATGCAATTTGAGTTCTTGTATTAGAGTTACAAATTTATTACGTTGATATTAGAACATTTCTATTATGAAATTTGAGCTTTTGTATTAAAGAGGACAATTTACTACGTTAACATTAGAATATTTCTATTATGAAATTTGAGTTCTTGTATTAGAGACCCAAATCAAGAATTTTGTTGTGTGAATCAACTTAGAGGTATGAATTCGTTTTTTGGCTCTAGTGTAGAATTGGGTGCCCCTTCGATTAGCGACATTTTTTTTTTCTTAATTTTGGCGATGAAACCGCATTTATGGTTACCGTGATAGTTTTAACTTTGTTTTATCTTCCCGATTTTTTTAAAATTAAAATAGATCGATGTGTACATGGACAAATTTAAGGCAGTGCGCAATGCCTAATTTGTGCAATTCTGGAATTTTTTTAAGTGAAAAAAAGATCGATGTGTACAGGGAAACAGAGATTGCGACACTTCTTATTTTGGTTTTGTGTAGTGTCCATCTTGAAATTGTGCCTTCCTGGCGCCGATCTTGGCGTAAAAAAAATCGCCAATAAACAAGAAGCACCGAATTGTAAACTTTTACCCTTTTTCTTATTTATTTTAGTATAATATTAAGAGCAAGCTTCGCAGATTTTTGTTTATCGGAAAGCATTTAAGTTTTATTGCATTAAGTGTTTTTAAAAAAATAAGTTTGTGTCATTCTTGAAATTCTAATTAAAAAAATGGCTGGATTGAGCAAGTTGGTTTTAATTTTTGAGTATTGACTGACTTTTAAAATTAATTTTGAAACACTGACAAAGAGTTTTTCTATTTCTAAACATGCCAATTCTTGACAAGGGTAGAAAACAAGATTTAATAGAAGTAGCCGAAGAATTAGATGAGGAAGTGCCGCTAACTAGTAAGGTCCCAGAAATTAAAAAGAAATAATCACTGAAAGTCAATTTTACCATGAGGAAGAAGTTGAATTAATTCTAAACCGAATAATTCTTAAACGCCTGACTCAAGAAGCGAGAGAAGAACGTTTGGCTCGAGAAGCAAGAGCATAATGAATTGGAAAAAAGCGGCTTGAAATTGAAAATAAGCTAGAGAATCAACAGCGAATATAGCAGAATTGAGAAACAAAATCCAGTTGTCACAAATTACTTCAACGTTTGACGAAAAAAGGGATGAAATGGGACTATATTTCATAAATTTTGAGAGAAAAGCTGAAATGGCTCAGGTTCCTAAGGGATTGGATTGGATTGGATTATTTAATTATGGCAAAGCACACGGGGGCTATCTGCCTACAGGGAGGGATGCCTTCGTGGAGGACTTTCTAAGGGAAACTGGCTCGTATACACGTTACACATGGAGTAAACCACGAAAACGCCCATGCAGCCAGCCCGTTCGCGGGATTCGAACCTCAGACCGAACTACCAGTGTTCAGCGTCTTTACCGCTCGGCCGCTGGTGGGCCACCAGGTTCCTAAGGGAGAATAAGCGGCTTATCTTTTGGGTGTTTTACGCACCGAAATCTCCAATATGTTAGCCAGAGAACCATCTGAAGATGCGACTAAGTACGAATATGTGAAAAATATAATCTTAAAAGAAGACATAAATTTAACAGTGAAAAGCTGAAACGGTGCTTTTATTAATATAAAAAACTTCTGAAAAATCTTGAAGAAGTTATGTTCATTAACTTTATATTTAATTTTTGGAGTGGATTGCGGATTTTGAAATTAAGAAATTTGAAAATCTGAAAGATTTAATAGTTACCGAACAAATGAAATATAGGGTTCCCATGGAAGTAAAGGATAATTTTCTCGACCAATGGATGAAATTAAAAACTCCATATGAGCTAGCAGAAACATTAGACGAGTATGAGAGTATTAAACAGAGCTTTAAGAGAGAAAATAATAGAAAACAAGGTTTGAAACTTCAAGAAAGCCATCAAAACGTGAACAAAATGCAAAGTGGTTATCATAATAGACATAATCCTAAAGAAATCTCTCTCCACTAATAAAATTCATGAAAGGGAATTTGAGAAACGGAGACACCTCATTGTTATGAATGCATATCCTTCTCTCATCTTCGACGTCAGTGTGATAAACTCAAGAAGAATTTAGAAACTGTAGCATCCAATGAAACTGTATCCTCAAATACATTTTTCAAAAATAGTTTAAGGATGTTATGGCTCCATATACCACCTAGGTAAAGTAAATGGCTATAAAATGCCCATACGTTTAGTGATACCGGTGCAACTTTGTGTTTAACTTGCATGTGGATACGAACACCTCTGGAAGAACATTCAGTGTGCTTACCTTTTTCTGATGTAGAGCTTAATGTGAGCTTGGTCATACAATAACAGAGTCTGCAGTCATAAGAAATTCATTAGAGCAAGAAAGGTATCTTCTAGGTAACAAAACCGCTGCATTATTTGAAGAAACAAAACTAGATGAAGAAGTTAAAATTCATGTGATAAACACCGTACAATGTCCTGCTCAACAAAGTCAACTAAAAGAAAAGGGAAATCTGGTCTCAACAGATGAGTTAAATCCTGAAATTGAACTTAACGACAAAGAAACACTAACTGAAAATGAAAGTTTGCCTCCTGTGAAATATGAACGTTCAGAATTAGATCTGATAAAGGCCTCACCAGAAATATTTATACAAGAACAGAAGGAGAGCTTCGAATTGAAGCCACTTTATGAAGAAGCTAAAATAAAATCTTCTAAAAGTACGAGGTATATATTGAAAGGCCAAATGCCCTTTTTCGAAAAAGAAGGTCGTGATGGAATACAAAGACTATTGATTGTTGTTCCTGAAAAATATCGGAAGCAGTTGATGACTATTTGTCATGAAGAAAGTGCAGCCCATCTTGGTAAAACAAAGACCAAAGATGCATTACTGAAAATTTTTTATTGGCCAGATTGTTACAAAGATGTCGAGAATTTTGTTAAAACTTGTGACAAATGTCAAAGAATTGGAAAGCCGCAAGATAAAATGAATGCATCTTTGAAAATTGTCCCTGTTATCACAGAAATATTTTCCAAAATAAATGTTGAAGCTTGTGGGCCTCCGCCCGTGACACCTTCAGGAAATATGTATCTTATAACTGCAATCTGCATGTCTTCAAAATATCCGGATGGAATTCCTGTCGCAAATCTTTGTTCAACCACAATTGTTGATGTTTTCCTTCAAATTTTTATTCGAATGGGATTTCCAAAGGAGGTCCATACCGACCAAGCTACATCTTTAACGATAGCGTTGACCTCGAATTTCCAAGAAAAATTTGGAATTAAAGTTGTACGAAGTTTTGTTTCCCACCCACAAAGTAATCCTGTAGAGATCATACATATAATTAATATAAAAAGAATTCTTCGAGTCCTGTCCTATGTCTAGAATCTGCCGCTCAGTCGGTATAGTGGTTAGGATACTGACTGCGATACCGAAGGGCCAGTGTTCTAATCCCGGAGAAGGCATGGTTGTAACTGTCCGTCCCTTCATAGGAAAAGCGATGGTGGCTCACCTATTAGGTGCCTCCATAATAAAGAGACCACCACATCTGACCTTGTATAGATCAATGGACTGGGTTACATTTGTAATTGTTCACAATCTGCTATTGGGAAAAGAATGTCTAGAATCTGGTCCGGACTGAGATAAAATCTTACCTCAGGCTTTATTTGCTCTTCGAACCACTATTCACGAGAGTACCGATTTCTCGCCCACAGAATTAGTTCATAGCAGAAACTTAATATCTCCAATTATGCTATTGTATGAAAAATTATCTGGTAAACAAGAGGAAGAAAATACAGTAGTGGACTATATTTTTGAACTAATAAATCGAATGAAGAAATGTCAAGAACTAGCTCTCTAGCATATGGAAGAAGCCAAAGAAAGGTAAAACCTCTGGTATGATCGCAAAACCGTAGAACGTAAATTTCAAGAAGGAAACTTAGTTCATACCATGAACATTCTAACCATAAACGATTTTAAGAGTGAGTAATGTTACAGCTAAAACTTTCAGAAATTTTAGAAAATAAATATATGGAAGTTATTAAAAATAAATCCTTAATCGAAGAAATCCGTAAAATTAGTTATCCGATTAGACAGTTTTTTGAGATTCGCTATAGCCATATAAAATAACATTCTAAGCATATCGGGAATTAGACGGGACCCAGCATTTCATATGAAATATAACAGGAATCCTTACAGAATTTAAATTATATTCGCTATAAATTGATTTGATTTCTATAACGAATAAGAATTACAAAATAAATAATCAATACAGACACAGTTTTCGAAAAACTGTCTTCTTAACTTTATTATCATTTCTGCATTTTAAACGGTGAGGTTAATAATATTGAAATTAAAATTTAATAACACTGTACCCGCTTCAGACAGAATCATCTCAGGAATTTCCTTAATGTGTTTATTCTACTGGTACAGAACAAATATCTAATAACTTCTGTTTAACATAACAATACCATGAGAACAAAACTGTCATAATAATATGCTAGTTTTTGTTTTCTTTAGTCTGGAATTCACTTAATTATAACTTTCTTAACATGCCCCAGATTTTTTTAAAAATAAACTGTGTTACTTCTACTTAAAGAATAACAGAATAAATTAATTTCTCAA